ATATTCAAACAACATTATATAACAAAAACACTTGTATATTCAAACAACATTATATAACAAAAACACTTGTATATTCAAACAACATTATATAATAAAAACACTTGTATATTCAAACAACATTATATAATAAAAACACTTGTCTATGCTATAAAGACCAGAAGTGCATTTATTTATATGAACCTAGAACATATAGTCCAACAGTCATAGCATAGAAACAAGGAGTCATAACATGTATTTTTTATGTTTTAGGGGTTTAGATCGACTTTCGGTAAAAAGCAATGAATTATATAATAAGATTAAATAAATAGATTGATAGATAAATCAACCAATAAATATAAGGCATGTTGTACATTGAACTACTACTCATTTGAAATCATGTCAGCTCATCTATTACTTAGGCAAGTTTTAAGACACCACGGACAAAATCCATCCCTAATTGAGAGTTGGGGTGAGAAAACGTGTCACCTATACCCATATGTTTTGCACGATTTCTGAGAAATCGTGTTAAGGTGAGAAAACGTGTTGCGACCGCAGCTCTTTTAGCACGATGTCTCACCCGGATGAGAAATCGTGCCGTAACATACGACCAACCTCGGGTTTGGTAGTCCAGGTACAAGGTAACGGCCAACCTCGGGGTTTGATAGTCCATGTACAAGGTTACGGCCAACCTCGGGTGATAGTCCAGGTACAAGGTTACGGCCAACCTTTGGGTTTGATAGTCAAGGTACAAGGTAACGGCCACCCTCGGGGTTTGATAGTCCAGGTACAAGGTTACGGCCAACCTTTGGGTTTGATATCCAGGTACAAGGTTACGGCCAACCTCGGGTTTTGATACTCCAGGTACGAGGTTACGACCAACCTCGGGGTTTGATAGTCAAGGTACAAGGTAACGGCCAACCTCGGGGTTTGATAGTCCAGGTACAAGATTACGGCAACCTTCGGGGTTTGATAGTCCAGGTACAAGGTTACGGCAAGCATCGGGGATTGATAGTCCAGGTACAAGGTTACGGCCAACCTTTGGGTTTGATATCCAGGTACAAGGTTACGGCCAACCTCGGGTTTTGATTCTCCAGGTACGAGGTTACGACCAACCTCGGGGTTTGATAGTCAAGGTACAAGGTAACGGCCAACCTCGGGGTTTGATAGTCCGGGTACAAGATTACGGCAACCTTCGGGGTTTGATAGTCCAGGTACAAGGTTACGGCAAGCATCGGGGTTTGATAGTCCAGGTACAAGGTTACGGTCAACCTTGGGGTTGGATAGTCCAGGTCCAAGGTTACGGTCAACCTCGGGGTTTGATAGTCAAGGTACAAGATTACGGCCAACCTCGTGGTTTCATAGTCCAGGTCCAAGGTAACGGCAAACCTCGGGGTTTGATAGTCCAGGTACAAGGTTACGCCAACCTCGGGTTTTGATAGTCCTGGTACAAGGTTACGGCCAACATCGGGTTTGATAGTCCAGGTACAGGGTAACGGCCAACCTCGGGGTTTGATAGTCAAGGTACAAGCTTAAGGTTACGGCAAACCTCGGGGTTTGATAGTCCAGGTACAAGAAGGTTACGGCCAACCTTGGAGATTGATAATCAAGGTACAAAGTTACGGCCAACCTCGTGGTTTGATAGTCAAGGTACAAGATTACGGCCAACCTCGGGGTTTGATAGTCCAGGTCCAAAGTTACGGCAACCCTCGGGGTTTGATAGTCCAGGTACAAGGTTACGGCCTACCTTGGGGTTTGATATCCAGGTACAAGGTTACGGCCAACCTCGGGGTTTGATAGTCCAGGTCCAAAGTTACGGCCACCCTCGGGGTTTGATAGTCCAGGTCCAAAGTTACGGCAACCATCGGGGTTTGATAGTCCAGGTACAAGGTTACGGCAAGCCTCGGGGTTTGATAGTCCAGGTACAAGATTACGGCAACCCTCGGGGTTTGATAGTCCAGGAACAAGGTTACGGCCTACCTTGGGGTTTGATATCCAGGTACAAGGTTACGGCCAACCTCGGGGTTTGATAGTCCAGGTACAAGGTTACGGCAAGCATCGGGGTTTGATAGTCCAGGTACAAGATTACGGCCAACCTCGGGGTCTGATAGTCCAGGTACAAGGTTACAGCAAGCATCGGGGTTTGATAGTCCAGGTACAGGTTACGGCCATCCTTGGGGTTTGATATCCAGGTACAAGGTTACGGCCAACCTCGTGTTTTGATGCTCCAGGTACGAGGTTACGACCAACCTCAGGGTTTGATAGTCCATGGACAAGGTAACGGCCAACCTCGGGGTCTGATAGTCCAAGTACAAGGTTACGGCAAGCATCGGGGTTTGATAGTACAGGTACAAGGTTACGGTCAACCTCGGGGTTGGATAGTCCAGGTCCAAGGTTACGGTCAACCTCGGGGTTTGATAGTCCAGGGACAAGGTTACGGCAACCATCGGGGTTTGATAGTCCAGGTACAAGGGTACGGTCAACCTCGGGGTTGGATAGTCCAGGTCCAAGGTTACGGTCAACCTCGGGGTTTGATAGTCCAGGGACAAGGTTACGGCAACCATCGGGGTTTGATAGTCCAGGTACAAGGTTACGGTCAACCTCGGGGTTTGATAGTCCAGGGACAAGGTTACGGTCAACCTTGGGGTTGGATAGTCCAGGTCCAAGGTTACGGTCAACCTCGGGGTTTGATAGTCCAGGGACAAGGTTACGGCAACCATCGGGGTTTGATAGTCCAGGTACAAGGTTACGCCAACCTCGGGTTTTGATAGTCCTGGTACAAGGTTACGGCCAACATCGGGTTTGATAGTCCAGGTACAAGGTAACGGCCAGCCTCGGGGTTGGATAGTCAAGGTACAAGCTTAAGGTTACGGCAAACCTCGGGGTTTGATAGTCCAGGTACAAGGTTACGCCAACCTCGGGTTTTGATAGTCCTGGTACAAGGTTACGGCCAACATCGGGTTTGATAGTCCAGGTACAAGGTAACGGCCAACCTCGGGGGTTGATAGTCCATGTACAAGGTTACGGCCAGTCTCGGGTTTTGATACTCCAGGTACGAGGTAACGACCAACCTCGGGGTTTGATAGTCCATGTTTGATAGTCCAGGTACAAGGTTACGGCAAGCCTCGGGGTTTGATAGTCCAGGTACAAGATTACGGCCAACATCGGGGTCTGATAGTCCAGGTACAAGGTTACAGCAAGCATCGGGGTTTGATAGTCCAGGTACAGGTTACGGCCATCCTTGGGGTTTGATATCCAGGTACAAGGTTACGGCCAACCTCGGGGTTTCATAGTCCAGGTACAAGGTTACGGCCAACCTTGGGGTTTGATATCCAGGTACAAGGTTACGGCCAACCTCGTGTTTTGATACTCCAGGTACGAGGTTACGACCAACCTCAGGGTTTGATAGTCCATGGACAAGGTAACGGCCAACCTCGGGGTCTGATAGTCCAAGTACAAGGTTACGGCAAGCATCGGGGTTTGATAGTCCAGGTACAAGGGTACGGTCAACCTCGGGGTTGGATAGTCCAGGTCCAAGGTTACGGTCAGCCTCGGGGTTTGATAGTCAAGGTACAAGGTTACGGCCAACCTCGTGGTTTGATAGTCAAGGTACAAGGTTACGGCCAACCTCGGGGTTTGATAGTCCATGTACAAGGGTACGGCCAACCTCGGGGTTTGATAGTCCAGGTACAAGGTTACGGGCAACCCCGGGGTTTGATAGTCCAGGTCCAAGGTTACGGTCAACCTCGGGGTTTGATAGTCAAGGTACAAGGTTACGGCCAACCTCGTGGTTTCATAGTCCAGGTCCAAGGTAGTCCAGGTACAAGAAGGTTACGGCCAACCTTGGAGATTAATAATCAAGGTACAAGGTTACGGCCAACCTCGTGGTTTGATAGTCAAGGTACAAGGTTACGGCCAACCTCGTGGTTTGATAGTCAAGGTACAAGGTTACGGCCAACCTCGTGGTTTGATAGTCAAGGTACAAGGTTACGGCCAACCTCGGGGTTTGATACTCCAGGTACGAGGTTACGGCCAACCTCGGGGTTTGATAGTCCATGTACAAGGGTACGGCCAACCTCGGGGTTTGATAGTCCAGGTACAAGATTACGGCAACCCTCGGGGTTTGATAGTCCAGGTACAAGGTTACGGTCAACCTCGGGGTTTGATAGTCCAGGTCCAAGGTTACGGTCAGCCTCGGGGTTTGATAGTCAAGGTACAAGGTTACGGCCAACCTCGGGGTTTGATAGTCCATGTACAAGGGTACGGCCAACCTCGGGGTTTGATAGTCCAGGTACAAGATTACGGCAACCCTCGGGGTTTGATAGTCCAGGTACAAGGTTACGGGCAACCCCGGGGTTTGATAGTCCAGGTCCAAGGTTACGGTCAGCCTCGGGGTTTGATAGTCAAGGTACAAGGTTACGGCCAACCTCGTGGTTTGATAGTCAAGGTACAAGGTTACGGCCAACCTCGGGGTTTGATAGTCCAGGTACAAGGTTACGGCCAACCTCGGGTTTTGATAGTCCAGGTACGAGGTAACGGCCAACCTCGGGGTTTGATAGTCCAGGTCCAAAGTTACGGCCAACCTCGGAGTTTGATAGTCCAGGTACAAGGTTACGGCCACCCTCTGGTTTGATAGTCCAAGTACAAGGTTACGGCCACCCTTGGGTTTGTTAGTCCTGGTACAAGGTTACGGCAAACCTCAGGGTTTGATAGTCCACCAGCAGATTCAACCGCCTTAATGCGTACTGAAAAATAACCTCTTGAAATAATACGAGGAAGCACTTTCAAGGGTAGGTAAACGTTTGCTTTAAAATAAAATATATTATATGAAACAATCCAAAATACGGATATAACGATTTTACATGGCATGTATGATTATGGGACTTTAGAACATGTTACATTGTAATTTGCAGTTACCCAGAGCTCAAGCAAAATCGAGAAGTGTCAGGCAACTTTGAACTTTGTTCTATTAGCTTGCTTGGTTTTTTTCTTCTCTTTATTCTTCTTTTTTTCTCTCGTTTTAGTAAATCTGGCCGTGCCTGTCACCAGCCGCCGTGGCTCTGGGTACCGGATCCGTTCCTCTTCCAGTAGCAGTTATGGGACATATGACACCGGATTGTAAGTATCGGGCACGCTATCTATATCCTTTCTCCCTTGTTATGGGTGTATCCTAATGGGTTTTGTATCGCCTTTGATTTCAATTGTTATCCATTGCTTGTCGCCGCTGATTTTCACCAGGATTACGTTCCCAATACATGTTTATGTACAGTGTACAACAAAACAAAAACAAAAAAGGAAAAGGCTCCAGTGATCCTGAGTTAACTACGTAAAATGCTTCCGGATGTGTATGACTTAATCAAACAAAGTCAATTTGTTGCATTAAAGGAAAATGTATGTTAAACATATTTAAAACAGATTTTATTTAAGAAATTGAAGTAAAAAGGTGCAAAGCCATCGTGATTTAAAAAAGTGAAGTGAATGGACCTGAAAAGTATTTCTCCTTTCCCAGGTCAAGTGGAGCGAAGATTGCGATATTTATTGGGACCTCAGTTGGGATGCTGATGCTCGTGGCGTGTATCAAATCATGGTGTTCTTCCATGATAAATAGGACGTCTACGAGACCAAGCGCTGTCTATGTATGAGATAAACAATGTATCGGACAATATTGTTCAGGGTAGGTGTAATTGACTATGTGTGAAACTATAAGGCAGACACAAGGCACTGCACCTTCCACATTTAGTATTCGGTGCAGCAAGTCAAAACTGAAAAACACCGCACCACACAGCTGTTCCGTCCTTCTAGGACTTATCGGTGATGCGAGGGGGCTAAACAGATGGAACTGCAAATTGTTCAAAACTTTTGTTGAGGGAAGAAGTGCATCAAACTATTTAATTATATGAATTTTAAAAAAAATCAAGAGAACTCAATTAGAAATTATTATTATCATGCTAACTGAATTTAGCAAACCTCAGAAAGTGTTTATTTCGATTCCTCGCATGACGTATGTATATGTATTTGCATTGAGTTGCACACCTGCTTCCTATGAACAAACTAATCTCCTCTGTGTTAAACTTTCCGTTCCTCAGTGGTGGCTTATCAGAATAGTGTGTTAACTTTTCCTTACCTCAGAGGTAATGTACGAGCCTATTCTGTGATAGTTCTCCTTTCCTGAGAGGTCATTATAGTTCATCATTTCCTTAGAGTTAACATACAAGCCTCCTCTTTGATAGATTTCCTTTCCTTAGAGTTAACATACAAGCCTCCTCTATGATACATTTCCTTTCCTTAGAAGTAACATACAAGCCTCCTCTTTGATAGATTTCCTTTCCTTAGAGTTAACATACAAGCCTGCTCTATGATACATTTCCTTTCCTTAGAAGTAACATACAAGCCTCCTCTGTGATAGATTTCCTTTCCTTAGAAGTAACACACCTTTTCTGTGATAGATTTCCTTTCCTTAGAAGTAACATACATGCCTCCTCTTTGATAGAATTCCTTTCCTTAGAAGTAACATACAAGCCTCCTCTGTGATAGATTTCCTTTCCTTAGAAGTAGCATACAAGCCTCCTCTGTGATAGATTTCCTTTCCTTAGAAGAAGCATACAAGCCTCCTCTGTGATAGATTTCCTTTCCTTAGAAGTAACATACACGCCTCCTCTGTGATATATTTCCTTTCCTTAGAGTTAATATACAAGCCTCCTTTGTGATAGTTTTCCTTTCCTTAGAAGTGACATACACGCCCCCCTCTATAATAGATTTCCTTTCCTTAGAAGTAACATACAAGCCTCCTCTGTGATATATTTCCTTTCCTTAGAAGTAACATACAGGCCTCCTCTGTGATAGATTTCCTTTCCTTAGAAGTAACATACAGGCCTCCTCTGTGATAGTTTTCCTTTCCTTAGAAGTAACATACAAGCCTCCTCTGTGATAGATATCCTTTCCTTAGAAGTAACATACAGGCCTCCTCTGTGATAGTTTTCCTTTCCTTAGAAGTAACATACAAGCCCCCCTCTATAATAGTTTTCCTTTCCTTAGAAGTAACATACAAGCCTCCTCTGTGATATATTTCCTTTCCTTAGAAGTAACATACAGGCCTCCTCTGTGATAGATTTCCTTTCCTTAGAAGTAACATACAGGCCTCCTCTGTGATAGTTTTCCTTTCCTTAGAAGTAACATACAAGCCTCCTCTGTGATAGTTTTCCTTTCCTTAGAAGTAACATACAAGTCTCCTTTGTGACAGTTTTCCTTTCCTTAGAAGTAACATACAAGCCTCCTCTGTGATAGTTTTCCTTTCCTTAGAAGTAACATACAAGCCCCCCTCTATAATAGTTTTCCTTTCCTTAGAAGTAACATACAAGTCTCCTCTGTGATATATTTCCTTTCCTTAGAGTTAATATACAAGCCTCCTTTGTGATAGTTTTCCTTTCCTTAGAAGTAACATACACGCCCCCCTCTATAATAGATTTCCTTTCCTTAGAAGTAACATACAATCCCCCTCTATAATAGTTTTCCTTTCCTTAGAAGTAACATACAAGCCTCCTTTGTGACAGTTTTCCTTTCCTTAGAAGTAACATACAAGCCCCCTTTGTGATAGATTTCCTTTCCTTAGAAGTAACATACAAGTCTCCTCTGTGATAGATTTCCTTTCCTTAGAAGTAACATACAAGCCTCCTTTGAGACAGTTTTTCTTTCCTTAGAAGTAACATACAAGCCTCCTTTGAGACAGTTTTCCTTTCCTTAGAAGTAACATACAAGCCTCCTTTGAGACAGATTTCCTTTCCTTAGAAGTAACATACAAGCTTCCTTTGAGACAGTTTTCCTTTCCTTAGAAGTAACATACAAGCCTCCTCTGTGATAGTTTTCCTTTCCTTAGAAGTAACATACATGCCCCCCTCTATAATAGTTTTCCTTTCCTTAGAAGTAACATACAAGCCCCCCTCTATAATAGTTTTCCTTTCCTTAGAAGTAACATACAGGCCTCCTTTGAGACAGTTTTTTCTTTCCTTAGAAGTAACATACAAGCCTCCTTTGAGAGTTTTCCTTTCCTTAGAAGTAACATACAAGCCTCCTCTGTGACAATTTTCCTTTCCTTAGAAGTAACATACAAGCCCCTTCCTTTTGGATTATAGCATTTCTTTGTAACAACACCTTTTTAAAGACGCACTCTGCTGGCAAATAATGTTTTTGATAAGAAAGGCTTAAATCCATCACGAATTGATAGCAAACGATTAGACTTCCGTGTCTATAAGGTATACAATGGGAGCCACATGTGGTGAAGGATACTCAGCCTTTTCCAGATTAATGTCTGTTGTCTTATAGAATTCGATATTATTCGCTTAAATTGTGTCCTTCGTTGCATCGTTTCGAGTAAGATCTCGAGTATGAACGTACGTTCTGTTCTTTATCTTACTGCCCAACACCAAACATTTAGTTTAGAGTTAATCTGACTTTAGACAGTGATATAGGATTCCTCATCATACACTGTTTGTATTACTAAATGTAGTATAAAGGCGGTTGTCTACTACTGTTATAAAGACACAGAGAGAAGCATATAAGGTACTCATCATAATTAAAGTTCGATTTTAATTCTAAAATATGAATTTCAAATTTTGCTTTGTGTTTGGCAGAGAATTAAAAATATCGATTTTCATAGCCTTTTTTATCATGTAGATATCCCGAGGTAACCGTCTGTGGATCCTGGATTTGTACCTAAACTCACAGAATCATTAATATGACCAGGAAAACACCAGTGACAACCAAAAAATGTAACAGAATGAGACGTGTTAAAACAATGGATTTACAATGTATTTAAAGTTATTTATACAGCGGAAAAATCACTTAAATGTTGTTATCGGTTTTTTAGACAGAAGTGTGTCCGGAAACCTGTATGCTTTGTGTATTCAAAATTTGATGCAAGAGCTTCTTTGGAGGTTTAAATTAAAAGCTTAACTGTAAAGGTTTTGCGCGTCGTTCTCCCTTTCTGAGCAATTACACGTCATCTTCGCCAACTACAGAACAAAATACCGCCAGAACTCAGCCACACAGAGAATGGCTTTACAGAACAAAATACCGCCAGAACTCAGCCACACAGAGAATGGCTATCTACATTTTTCGCAGGGTAAAACACTAAATCAGCCCCATAAAACCCGGAATCACGCAAAAAGTCATCTCAACGATTACGAACAAGACAGGTAACCTTCTTGTATATCTGCCTAAGTTTACAGACCGTATCCAAATAATATCTACTCCAGGTGAATGTCATTGAGGTGGCCCATCGCTTGATATGCTCTTACGTGCAAGCAAGATTAAACGTAACTTCTGTTCTCAACTCCGGTCTGAAAAAGGTCAAGCTTTCGGCACCCATTATTTCTGTAAATTTTAAATGCTAAATTTGTGTTCCCATGTCTTTTCAGTTCATTTATGCTGTCGTTTTGCATCAGCTGAGACTTCGGATTGCGTTCTCGAATATTGATAATGTGGTCCATCATTTTTTTTTAATTCCGAACTCCGAATTATCAAATGCACTCTGAAGGTATATGTCTGGAAGTGAAAACGTCCAGATTCCTTCTCATTAAGTGAAAAATAAGATATGATGTCTCTGTAATTAAATGTCCCCATACTGCCAACGTCTTTCTAAAAAACGAACTTAAGTGTTTGTTTAATGAACAAGAGACCCATGGGCCTTTACGGTCACCTGAATTCTGATATATTTATTCAGAGTTGATTTTTGTTTTTAAAACATGAACAAAAATATTTTTCGAAGTGACAAAAAACAATAAAACCACCTTATTCAATATCTAGCATACAGATTTAAGACTGAAAAATATTTCAAACTAGCACCTCTAATTCTAAACAAGGAAAATGAAGAAATTTTAGCGCACCGACTCCTTTGGGCACCGCCCTACAGCCCTTGGGGTAGGGCTGGCTCAAAATTTTCAAAGTATCAAACTGTCAACTTATGGGGGTAAACAAGAGACCCTAGGGTCATAAAATTCACAATTTTGGTAGAGCACCTTAAAACCTTTCCAAGACTAAATTTTGATTCTACCATATCTGGGTCTTGAGAAGAAGGTTTTGAAATTTCAGTACATTCGACCATTTCTGGCCCCACCCATCAGCTCCTGGGGGTCAGTCAGAGCTCATATGTGCATACCATCAAACAGCTATCCAATACTGATAATGCTAACCCAAATTGAATTACTTCCAATGATAATTAAACAATTGTTGGTCAAAAATGTGATTTCCATAAATAAACTATAGTAAAGTTTACCCCCTCCCCAGGGGGAAACGTGAGACGCCAGGGTCATGAAATTTACAATTTTGATAAACCACCTTAAGACCCTTCCATCTATGAAGAATATTTAATTCTACTATATCTGATTCTTGAGATGAAGATTTTTGAAATTTTAGTCAATTTGACACTTTTCGACCCCGCCCCTCATGCCCCTGGGGGCTGAGGACCATATAATTCACAATTTTGGTTGACCTTTGGCCATGGAAGTTTTCTGCAAAATTTCATTGAAATTGGTTCAGGGGTTTTGGAGAAGTCGAAAATGTAAATTGTTTACGGACGCATGACGCACGACAAAAGGCAATCGTAATAGGTCGCTGAGACTTTGTCTCAGGTGACCTAAAAATATCAATTCAAGCTAATGTCAAATGCACGTACCCTGTATGACGGACTCGTGTTAAATTAAGTAGAATATGCGACTAAATCATTGCATATCCCCAATTTCATCTGATTGAAATTCAATTAAGTCTATTTACATTGTAGTAGTTTGCGGAAAGGCTTGCTGTAAAACGGAACTTTTCATCCTTGTTAGTGTATGTTATAGTGTTGTGTTTCAGCAAAAGTTTTAATGGAAGTTGAAAACATCCACATCACATTGTGACATCATATATAAAAGACAAACAGTTACAGAAATGTAAGTTGTGACTTTAATTCAGACAAATCCATGCCCCTTACTGAGGATCAACACTGATGCTGGGATGTGTAAATAGTATATGTGTATATACACTGATAAAGAGTACTAAAATAGTGTCTACTATAAACTTGTTCATTACATTATTTTACACCTTACTGCAGTGAAGTTCTAGACTGGAATCGTGACATATTTAATTGTGAATCCTTAGAGAAACCTATATAGAACCTTACCACCAGGAGAACGTCAGACTTTGTCACACCTAACCGCAGGAAAACGTCCGTCTTTGTCACACCTTACCGCCAGGAGAACGTCAGTCTTTGTCACACCTTACCGCCAGGAGAACATCAGTCTTTGTCGCACCTTACCGCCAGGAAAACGTCAGTCTTTGTCACACCTTACCACCAGGAGAACGTCCGTCTTTGTCACACCTTACCTCTAGGAGAACGTCAGTCTTTGCCACACCTTACCACCAGGAGAACGTCTGTCTTTGTCACACCTTACCACCAGGAGAACGTCAGTCTTTGTCACACCTTACCGCCAAGAGAACTTCAGTCTTTGTCACACCTTACTGTCAGGAGAACATCAGTCTTTGTCACACCTTACCGCCAGGAGAACGTCAGTCTTTGTCAAGTTAGTTAGAATCATGTGTTGTATGATGCACCTTTATTTAGTAAAGTTAAGCAAGGTCAATTTGGCACGTATTCAATGTCACATGAGAAATAAGAAGTATCCAACCTCATATCAAAGGTCCAGAAGTAAGCCAATTTGATTAATAGCTTTTGCACAGTGTCAAGTTTGAAATATAAAAGCATAACAAAATGACAGTAAGCTTGAAACAGATCGATAGTATTCATGACCTTGAATTTTAGCAATGACCTTGATATGAACTATATTTATTGTTTGAATGAGTTGGCTTGTTTAGAACACGAGAAATAACCTCCTTATATTGCAGAAGATGAACAATGTCCTAATCAGACAAAATTGTAAAACGATGAATTATTCCTGAATTTATAAAAACAAGAGGCCCAATGGGCCTGCATCGCTCACTTGGTATTAATCTCACACTTGTGATCCTAAAAGTGGATTAAAATACAGCTACAGGCAGAATATCAGTGTTTGATTCATAAGAACCTATTTAAAGATTTAAACATATGACGCCTGTGACCTTGAATGTTGAACAAGGACATTAGGTTGAACAGAGTTTATAGTCTTCCAACCCAGCATGCATCTGGCAAAATATCATTACCCTAGACCTTTTGGTTATATAGAACAAATCATTTAAAGATTTAAACATATATTGACCACTGTGACCTTGAATATGGGTGAAGGTCATTCACTTGGTAGTCCTTCATCCCAGCATGTTAATGGCCAAATATCATCACTCTTGGCCTTTTGCTTATTAGGTCATTCAATGGTTTTAAACATATTTGACCCGTGACCTTGAATATATATGTCAAGGTCATTCATTTGAACAAACTTGGTAGTCCTTAATTCCAGCATGTTACTGGCATTATACTAGGCCTCTTGGTTATTCAGAAGAAGTTGTTAAAAGGTTAAAAACATATTTGACCCCTGTGACCTTGAATATAAATCAAGGTCATCTATTTAAACAAAGTTGGTAGACCTTCATCCCAGCATGTTACTGGCGAAATATCATCATCCTAGGCCTCTCAGTTATTCAGAAGAAGTTGTTGAAAGGTTTTTAACATATTTGACCCCTGTGACCTTGAATATAAATCAAGGTCATCTATTTAAACAAAGTTGGTAGACCTTCATCCCAGCATGTTACTGGCGAAATATCATCATCCTAGGCCTCTCAGTTATTCAGAAGAAGTTGTTGAAAGGTTTTTAACATATTTGACCCCTGTGACCTTGAATATAAATCAAGGTCATCTATTTAAACAAAGTTGGTAGACCTTCATCCCAGCATGTTACTGGCCAAATATCATCATCCTAGGCCTCTTGGTTATTCAGAAGAAGTTGATTAAAGATTTTTACATATTTGACCCCTGTGACCTTGAAAATTGATGAAGGTCATTTATTTGAAAAACTTGGTAGCCCTTTATCAAAGCATGCTTCTGGCCAAATATCATCACCCTAGGCCTTTTGGTTACTGAGAAGAAGTTGTTTAAAGTAAAAAGTTGACGCCGATGGACGACGGACGATGGACGCCGCACCATGCCATGAGCTTACTTGGCGAGCTAAAAATGATACAAATTGTAACTGATGTGACTGACTGGTGTCAAATATTAACATAATCATGATTACATCTGCGATAGAAAAGGAAACACATTTTCACCAGATTTATAATATTATGATACCAAATGATGCACATCTATGGGTAATCAGTTAAGTCTTTACTTCTCGGTAAAAAACATCATCTACTTTGGCAGGTGTCATCCTAGCACACTGAGGAAACTTTGGCATAGTTACATGTAGTATGTTACAGATACTTTTATTATTTTTCATGTCATCCTTAATCAATATATTCACCACAGGAAATCATCAGTAATGAAGCAGTGTACAAAACATATCTAATAATCATTAAACAAGCTACTATTTATTACTATTTCACCAAGTAAAAAAGAAGTATGCTGTTTCAACACATTTTGATTTTTAAGACATTCTTCGTGAAAATAAGGGTATTAAACATACTACAGCTTCATTTCATTCAATTGAATGTACAATGTAAAATGTACACTATATTGATAAACATTAAACTGCATTACACTGCAAAAGAATCTCTCTTTCACCTCAATCATATTTTCTCAATTTCTGCATCTTGATTACACTGTGTTCAAGTAAAAGTTCCTGTAATTGCGCAATTAGATACTACACAGTAAGTATGTAGTACAGAATAACACTGGGAGCATACTGTCATTTTTGTCCACAGAAAATAAGCAATATATTGAAAAGTCTGGCAATATAACAAGAGGATCGTTTAAAGGATTTGTTAAGAAACAAGAGTACCGCGGGAAGGAACAATATAATATACGCCCGTCAAATGCCATATAGTGTTATATACTTTCTAACATTGAAATAAGATCTGCATCATTAAATAGTGGTTAGCTGACATGCTATAAAAAATGTAGAAGAAAATCTCTGGACAAAGTGCAATAACATTTGCAAAAATCATTAAATCAAAATTCTTTTAAGGGAGACACAACAACATATCATGATTATTTAGCCTACTAAGTTTCAAAGAAATCTGTCAAAAAATGTAGGGGGAGATCTCCGGACAAAAAATCAAATACTGAAATGAACAAAGGGCAATAACTTTTGGAAAAATTGTCGAATCAAAATTCTTTTAAGGGATACACAACTTCATATCATGATTATTATGTAAACCAAGTTTCAAAGAGATCGGTTGAAAAATGTAGGAGGAGATTGCTGGACAAACGAAATGTTTACGCCTGACGGACGGACGGATGGACAACCCCATACCATAATACTTTAGTCAAATTTGACGGGCGTATAAAAAGGAAAAGTAGACTTTGAAAGATGATGGTGCTGGCATTATATTGAGGTTTTCCTGTACATGTAGTAACTCAGTAACAGTAGATATGCTGTCAGGTGAGATACAGGTAAACAAAATACCTGTGAGAAACAGGTGGGTGTGAGAAACAGGTGAGATACAAAATACCTGTGAGAGTTGTGGGGTTAATTTAACTTTGACTCAGTATCAAAAACACAATTTATTCATAAACTGATCATTTTTCCGACATGAATCTCCAACATTAAATTTGTTCACATAGATTGGTTTATAAAATATATTATGTACAGTGTAAACCAGGTAGGTCCAGTATTTCAGTATGTAGAACACGCACAACTCGGATAGATTGATCCTGTCCAGTATGTAGATACTGTACAGTATGTAGAATATACGTAGCCAGCAGGACAAGAGTACACGCACAACTCGGATAGATTGATCCTGTACAGTATATATACAGTGTACAACACCAGCAAGACTAGAGGCCGCACACAACGCTAATAGATCCTGTATGTATGGAATGATAGCAGAACATCACATCTACATCTATACCAACAATATGGTGATAGTGTATAAATAAATACAATCTAAACAAACAGTAACAGAAAAATGTTTATCTTACAATCACACCATGCTTGAATATTCAATTATAATATATTAGCATCACAATTAATTTATACATCAAAACTAAGTCGTACGTGTCTCGTCTTAGTCAAGAAAGCAGCTCCACACTAATACATGTGGAATATATTATAAAATAGAGTTTTGGGAAAATGCTAATAAAGGTAAGCTTTTGCAGGTACCAGGAACATGTATTGAATCAATAAACAAGATAATGAACTAAATGTATGACAACATGTAAGCAGTAACTGTACCTGGTGAACTTCATTCTATTACTTAACAACGTATACATATTACTATGTATTGTGTGTTACCAGCAATGCGTTGTATAATAATTATATTGTATTATGAAGAGATAAAAATTCAAAACTTCGTCAAACAAACGTAACGCATTTTGAGTAAATTGATTGTACTCTGTATTGCAAATAACATAATTCAAGAAATTAAATTCAAAAGTCAATAAAAAGTGATGTTTAAAAAAATGATTTAACTGAAGTTTCACTAGGTTATTTACTTTGTTACATACCTAAACTACTACAATTTATGTTGTCAAGTACCCAGTAGGTTTAATTGTTTACTAGATTTTGATATGTATAATGAAAATGCTGATCTAGCAAGTATTACCGGTATATTGTTAATAATCCTAATACAAATATATAATCCTATATCCAATATATTACTTTTAAATATACTACATAACTCTCAAGAAATATTTTAAAACAAATATATATATATCTGTGATCATTCATATTTTTAAGAATTTGATAAAAATATCATAGAATTATAGGATTAATGAGTACAGAGTTTATCACGGAAATCAATTAATCAATTGATATTGATTTGATTCTGACAGAATAACATGGTATTTAACTGAATTATTTTTCTAGCTAATTACAACAAATGCAGTGTTCTTAGTGTACCCACTTCAGGCAATTAAGCACTAATATGACTAAAGCTCTTTCCCACAGACCTGAAGCACACTTGCCAACCTTTCATATTTTATTGGGGCGTTGAATGTGGCAAAATGTAGGCAGGTGTAAGTGCTTGTTGATCCCCCATTTGTGTAAAATACAGTATGAGCAAAAAACAAGATGTAAGGAATTGTGCTTCAGATATTGAAAGTCAAAATGAGGGTAAACAAGATAATGCCTCTCTCCAAACTAGGGATTTTTTGGTGTGTGCATATATATGTGCTTACTGAAATAGTCTTGATTTTTTCCCCCACTTGAAGTGAATCATGTATCGTTTAGTGATTTTAATTTATGATTATGCATATTTATCAACTGTAGACTGGAACAATGTAAATATACACATGTATTGTATAATATATATTATACAGGACTTTATAACAGCAATTATATATATAATTAATCAAAGTCATAATTGTGTTTTAACTGTGCCCAATTACCTTTTGATACAAAGCAGATATACATGAAATAGATTACATTCCTTTATAAGATTTTTAAGACTTTTATTTAATGTTACAAATTGTTCCTACATAGAGGTCAGAGAAATGTTTATATAAATGTTAACACAATCATTTTTTTTCAAAATTACTCATTTAAACAAGAAATTTACAGATCTACATCACACATGGAAGGGTTGAAAAAAGTGCATACAACAATAATTATTTTTTTTGACATTGTAGCTGCCTATGTGATTCTCCAGGAAAACTTGAACAGAAACAGTCCTTTATGCTAGATTGTTCATGATGAGATTACAAAATAGTCCAGATAGATTGATAGAAAATTACAAAGTTCTTTCCTAAAACTGTTTTTGAATTATAGCATTTTTTTTTAAGAATCAGTAAAACATTTTTGCATGAGCTTTTTTCTCTATTAGACAATACAGTCGTCCATATCAACTAAGACTGTAATTCCTTACAGCGTAACCACTGTCACTTGGCCGCACATCTGTACAGTGCCTGGCCAGAGATACTTTTTAACAGTTAATACCAAATATTGAGCTTGTAGATGACATTTAGGCATTATGAGACTAAAGAAAGCTTAGAAATAAACATACTATTTTTTTTGTTGCTTTTTTAATTGGAAATAAATGTGAGTTTGAAAAATGCTTCAACGTCCCATTTTCCCACCTGTATTTATGTTCACTACTGATTGCTATCATAAATGTAAAAAATACAAAATAATAATAATAATTCGACCAACTTTAATATGGTGATCATAATCCTGAATTAATAGAACCTAATTGACAAAAAATAATGTTTTTATATTCAGTTTGTTCCTTGAACTTAAACAATTGTCATAGCAACAGGTAATATATTGGTATGTACAATTAGTATATTTAAGGGCTCACAGTAAACTGGGTATGTGGTATTAGGGTTCATAGTAAACTGGGTACATGGTATTGGGTCACAGTACACTGATCAGTATGTGGAGTTGGGATTCATTATGGTTGGTACTGTGCTGGAGTGGAGGAAACCTTTCCGCTGCTTCTGTTTCCTCTGTTCGGTCATCTGTGGGGAAATAATTATATTATGTGAGTAAATCTTTCCAATCACAATATTGCTTATTACTGTTCAAGTGGAAATGTTTGGTGTGGAAATACCAAGTTTTTTTGCATTGAGTAAATTAGTGCAAAAAAATCCATAGGTAAATATAATATTTCTCACATTATATAGAATTAAGATGTATAGAATTCAGAACTAATTCGAAATGTAAATATTTCTGCATTCCGATTGCATGAAAGAGTCACAATGCAAACATTTCCACACACCAGAATTTCGTTTTTCAAAGTACTTGATATTGCATGTAAGTTAAGGCATGATCTACAACATTGATGTTAAACTAACATGATCCATTATGAAAAGATTCTTGTAACACAACCCATAAGTGTTTCTATGTGACGTTTCGTTGACTAGTATGGTATATGTCATCTGTCACCTTCATCAGACAAATGACCAGTAAAGTGTCATAGAGCGGGCTTATAGACTCTTGCACATCTATGACCAAGTATTAAATAAAGAGTAGCTGAATCAAGTCAATTCGGTACATATATAACAATTCATTGTACATACGATTACAGCGTAGCCGAATCAACATTGATTTTGTGGACAACTCGTACACATTTTACATCTTTGTGTACATAGACTTTACTGGTCATTTGTCTGATGAAGGTGACAGAGTACATACCATACTAGTCATAGAAACATCACATATAAACACTTATTGGTTGAGTTACAAGAATCTTTACATAATCCATACTTACCATCCTGAAGAAAATGTTTAGTAACATGATTTATGTTCCTCTGACGTTCCCAAAAGTAAGCAAATGTGAGCATATATCGTGAGGTTAATAGTTATAGATATAAGCTAATCTTCTGATGATATGGACAGGTGTACTGTTGAACTCATCTGATCTCCTTAGTAATGAGTTATACAGTCAAGTAAAGTTGGTAGCCCTAAATCATTGGACTCACACAGTAAGTTGGTAGCCCTAAATCATTGGGCTCACACAGTAAGTTGGTAGCCCTAAAGCATTGGGCTCACACAGTAAGCTGGTAGCCCTAAAGCATTGGGCTCACACAGTAAGCTGGTACGTACCTGGTCTTTGAGCTCACTCAGTTGTTTGGACAGGTTTTTGATGAGAGTGTTGGCGCAGTCCAGCTGTGCCTGCAGGTTTCGCAGTTCATTCTGTTCCCCATCACTTTCTTCTGCCTGAAGTGACATGGCTCGCATCCTTGGGAACCACTCCAGGTTTTTCTCCTGCACACAACATAGAACAGGATCTGAAGTACTACTAGATTAAGATTAGCTTAAGAACATTTAGACTTATTAACATTAATAGTGATGCAACATGAAGATGAACCTATCACTTTCAGGTCTCACACAACTAAATCAGCCAATCAGCCAGTGTTTCATACAATTGTAATCCCTACCTAAAAGTAGTAATTACAGTAGGTATTTATTGACATATTTTACATTGAATGAAATCTACAGATATTAAGAAATATGTATAGTTTTAGTAGATTTTAAAATGTGATGGCGGATTATTATGGGGTCAGATGTCAGGGGGTGTTCACATCCGACTTCACCGGTTTGGCTTGTAAGCTTCCGATTGTCAAAAGCAGATGCATGTAGCCCTCTTATATGCCACTAAACTCACCAAAAAATGCCCGCCGAAGCCTGTCAGGTACATTGTATGTATCTGTGGACCTAGACAGTTGTCACTAGTGCTGAACTTCAAATATTAACGCTATTGGCTCAAAAGCTTAGTAATAACATATAGTAAATGATTTAGTGGTGCAAGTCTAACTTTTGCATATTTAATTTGTCACTCAAATGAAATAAGTTGAGGGAGGCTCAGTACATATCTACCTTGATCATGGCGTGGACATAACTTTCAGGCCCTGTAAACTCGGTGTGGTCTTTCACTTTCACAAGGACTATGAAGTTAAGATAATGCCACATATTATGTTCTTTAGACTTGTGTTCATCAAAAGAGACGTCTTTGTTGTCGAACGAAACACGATTCAAACCTGGAATTAAATACATGCTGACCTTTAAATGTTTCATTCTAAAATCAAAAGAAAATTAGAAATCACCAATCATGTTTATTCTGCAACAATTCAGATTGATGTATTTTTCTTTCTTTCAGCTCTCAAATTGACATTTAGCTGCAAAGCATGTTATTTTGAAAAAGACGGGCGTCCATAAGACTGTTTTCAGCCTATTTACTTCCAGATATCATCCTGTTAAAATGATGCTATAATACCTTGTCTATATATTACATGTGATCAGATAATTAGTTGAGTTTTTGCCCAAAGTGCCTTTTGTGGAGATGAGGAGGAGGTAAAACCACAAATGAAATAACAACAAAAACCTTTCATCACTTACCACAGACAAAACATGTATTCTTCAAGGTTTGTTCTTTGTTTTGTTTTTCACTCCTCAGGTCAGCAAATGTGTCGATGATAACACCAAAGATGAGGTTGAGGACAATAATGATGACGATGAAAAAGAACAGCATGTCGTATACAACTCTCGCCACAAACAACGGCTCCTGTAAAACACAGAATACATCTTCTTATTCTGATTCTTAACATTTACAACACATTCCCTTATTTACACACGCTTCCGATAGAAGCAGTAATAACACACATATGTAATTTCCAAGTAAGTTTTAATTCAAAAACAATTGATACAAATCAAATTAAATTAGATTGCCGTTCCAGAACACTTTTTGTACTTTTTGAATGATCTACATGTACTGGCAAATCTTCCCTTTAATCAGGATTGTTTCCCTGGTCTCAGGTTTGTGAGATTGTTTCCCCGGTCTCAGGTGAAGATATACTTACCCTAGTACCAGGTTTGTGAGATTTTCCCCTAGTATCAGGTTTGTGAGATTGTTTCCCCGGTCTCAGGTGAAGAGATACCTACCCTGGTATCAGGTTTGTGAGATTGTTTCCCTGGTCTCAGGTGAAGAGATACCTACCCTAGTACCAGGTTTGTGAGATTTCCCCCTAGTATCAGGTTTGTGAGATTTCCCCCTAGTATCAGGTTAAGAGATACCTACCCTAGTATCAGGTTTGTGAGATATTCCCCTAGTATCAGGTTTGTGAGATTGTTTCCCCGGTCTCAGGTGAAGAGATACTTACCCT